GAATGGATTAATTGGTTTTCAGTGCATTCCTATAGGAAATGCTGATTCGACTTACAAACTTTTCGACTTACAAACTTCCTTCCGGAATGGATTAAGTTTGTAAGTCGAAGGTTGACTGTAGTGTTATATGAAGACAATTTTAAATTAGTAGCTTTTGTTTTTAATTCAGTGTAAAGTACTGTTTTTTTACCTTTACAGTTCTGAACAGTTGGTAGTTATTTGAGGAATCAATTATATCCTAACTGGCCTCTTCAGATCCTTGGATTGACCTCAAAAATTCTGCTATGTATCCAGCCAATGGATATCTGGGGCTGGGCATTTTTAGCCACGGCACCACACAGGTGGAATTCCCCCCCCCCCAAAAAAAAAACCCACTTGGACTTCTCTCTTTGGGCCTTTAAATGGACCCAGCAGACTTTGTAATTCATCAAATGTTTCCTGATTTTTTTTAAAAAAAAAAAACTTCCTGACTACTGTGTGTGTTTTTATCCATCACTGTATTTAATGGTTGTCAATTGGCTTGTTTTTATAATTTTTTAAATTGTGAACTGCCTTGTGAGAGCTTACCCTAAATGACAGAGTAGAAATACATTAAATAGAATAATGTCTAGCTGGGCAGTAGTGACATAAGGCAAGATCAAAGACAGTTGCACGTTCTCTATAGTGCATACTGAACCATCCCCTCCCTGAGTGACTTGGTGTGATACTGCTTTGGTATAAGTACCCAGTCTGGTAGTCCCAACTATCTGCAGAAGGAAAGGAAGATAGGCAGAATAGCCAATCTGCTGTGGTTCTGCTATGCCCTATTACAATCTTCTCCCTGCTGTACTAGACCTGGTATTAAGCAGTGGGTGCAGGAAATGTCTCAAACCAGGTTATATCTGTGTTTATTAGCATATATCTATCTCTTACTTTTCTGTTTCCGTTTATGTGATTGTAGCTTAGATGGTGAGTAGTGGGAGAATCAAGAGTGTGACATCAGGCCATTCCACATGCATACATAGGCTTTGTGCATGCACTTAGTAATACATGTTCCCCAAACAGGAGCTTGCTGTTGCGTGGCATCAAGTTGATTCCAACTTAAGGTGATCGTATTAGTGACCTCTGGTGGGTCCGATCAACAGCAGTCCTGCTTAGATGTTGCAAACTGAAGGCCATGGCATCCTTTCTTGAGTCAGTCCTTGTATGTTTGATCTTCATATTTTTCCTAATTCCTTTGACCTTTCCAGCATGATTTCTTTTCTGTTTTGTTTTGTATACCCAAAGTACAATAGCTTTTGGGGGGAGTTCAGGCTTGATCTGATCTAGTACCTGCTTATTTGTATTTCTTGGTTGTCCATGGAATCTGTAAACTTGTCCTCCGACACCTCATTTTGATTAAACCAAGTTTTTTTTTCCTATCAGGTGTCTTCATTGTCTAGCTTCCATTATACCAACACTGAGAATACCATAACATGAATGATCTTGGCCTTGATGTCCAGTGACACATCCTTACTTTTATTCTTCAGGATCTTTCTAATTCTTTCGCAGCTGACCTTCAGAGTTTCAGACAACTTCTGATTTCTTGGCAGTTTCCATTTGGATTGATGACTGAACCAAGGTAAAGAAAACCTTTAACTATTCCTGTTTCTTCATTGTCAACATTTTGTAGTCTTGACTTTTATCCTAACACTGAGCTGTAATCCTGCTTTTGCACTATACTCTTCCCTAGTAATTATTCAAATCACTGCTGCTTTCTACTAGTCTGATGGTATGTTCATCTAATTATTCAGGACTTATTGTAACATATGAGGTTTAACAAGGCAGGGGATGTGTGGTTTGCTTTTGCTATCCATTCCTCAAAGTAGCCATGAACTGCATGGCAAAGCAAATGATGAAGTATTGTTGCTAGGCCAAGAGTGACTCTGGGATAAGGTGGTTGGTATGGCAGTGGAAACTGAGACCTATGAATTTGGTAATTTGCCTGTTTATTTAGCAATGAGAAAAGGTCACTTTTTTGAAGGCAAAGAGAAGGGCTTGTATTCATTGGCTGAAATCCAGTAGTTAGGCGCATATAGAGTAGGCCCATTGAATCAGTGGAACTTGCAGAAGGCTTACTGTATTTTTCCGTTAAGAAGAAGAAGAAACCCACACTTTTGTAAATCAAAAATTAAGAAAACCTAGCTTTGAGTATTCATCCTCTGAGCTCAGAATGCTCAGACATTAGGAGTCCCTGTTGAATCTGAGCCTACAGGCTCCACCTCCAGGTGTGTTCCAGTTGGTTTGTTCAGCATCAGCTGATGTCAGTTCCATAAGGCTGATGATTGGGGGAAGCTAAGTCCCTTAACTGTAGGAAGCTAAGCCTTGTGATTGAAGGAAGCCTGTTTACGGAGGCAAGGCACGGGCCGTTTTATTCTTTCCTCAGCTTCCATGTAAAAGGCACCCCTCAATTTTTAGTGTAATGATTTTAGGAAAAAATTATCATCTTATACACAAAAAATATGGTAACTGTCCAGATCTCCATAGATTCAGTGTGCCTACTCTACTTGCTATTGGATTTCAGCCAATTCGAAGTGAATGGAGCATTGTTAAAAGAGAGTTTGAACTTCTTGAGTGTTCTCATTTATCACTGCAGAATCTTTGAGACATTTTAAACAATTGAATATCATTAATTTAAAGTGCAGAAGTTAGATTGGATGAGAATTGACAACTATTCAGTGCCAAGTTGGTACAATGGGTGTCCTGTTAACTGCTGAAAGGAGAGAATCCAGATTACATGATGTTCAGTAGTGACTTTTCAAAAAATATGTTTCGGGTGATCTCTCTGCTTACTGCTAGAAGAATTTACATGTGGATAGCAAAGGTTGGTATAAAGGTAATTGGCAGTTTTCTAGGATGGGCTAGATGAGGTAAAGGACAAGAAAGATAAATTAGAGATTTTGAATGTCTTGCCCCATTTGTCAGGAGAAACAAAATGTGTTTGTTTTGTACTTACGATGGATTGCTCGAATGCCTTGTTGGCAGCTTCAGTTTTCTCATGTTTCTGGACTCAGTCTTGTGAACTTCTTTTATAAAAGGAATCTAAAGTCAGCTCTGATGCCATATCAGTAATTAAAGCAAGGTTTCCCTAAAAACATTGGCAAGTGCATTCTTTTGATTTGGATGTAATTCATAATCATTTCTATTTCACCATTTCAACAGTATCATATATATTTCTTCAGAGTGCTCAGAAATGTGTTTGTGCATCGTTTGGGCTATAATGTGATTTCCCTACATGTCTTAAGGTGCTTGTGACTTAGGAGAAAAGAATTCTAAGAAAGAGCTTAATAGTAATGTTTCATTCTCTTCTGCAAGGACCTAAAAGTACTGTACTAGGTTCCTTAAAAGATAACAGTGGAAGTGTAAATAAAATTTCTGATACATTTTGCACTGTTTTCATTCTGCACAAAGTGCCTTTGATTTAGTTCTTGTGAAGACACATTAACAATGTTTCTAAAGAAGTGAATCATGAACCACAACCCTAATCTTCCAAGATTCGTAATAAAATATGTAAGACCAGTATATACTTTTAAGAGCTGTACTAAAGAATATGTCTAATCAGTTTTCTTTTTCTTTCTTTTTCCCTACAGCAAACTTAGAAGATGATGATTCTACTGAAGATTGAATGTTTAGCTTAATTGGCTTGGCACAGAATATTCTGGCTTTTCATGGAGACTGTCAATAAGCACAGGAGACAAACAGCCAATGGCTTCTGACTCTATCGTCCTGGAGCATGCAAAGCACCATGTAAAAGGAAAAAGGCAACAGCAACATGAAAGGTCACCTTTGAACAATGATGGGGAAGAAGAAACATTTGTATTTGAAGCAAATGAAGCCTGGAAGGATTTCCACAGCTCTCTTCTTCATTTCTATGAAGCTGGGGAGCTCTGTGATGTTACACTAAAGGTACTGATACATATTCCATATTTCTGTGTATTTTCTGAAGTTGCATGCTGAATTATCTTCGCGTGTTTTTAATTATTTGAATGTGAATGTTTTTGCCATCAATTCTATTAACAGCTCCTAGAAACTGCAAATCTAGCAACACAATACTTGTGGGGAACCTCTGATTTCATGGAGTAATCTGAACTTAAATTAGAAAGTCCGTAAACATAGTTCAAAGAAGCTCATTTATATAAGCCACGGTGCCTGTATAAACCCAATCAATGGATGCAAATGACATCCACTTGAAACTGTTGTTTTGATGTTGTTACACATGAGCATCTGCTTCCAGCATTCTGCACTCTAACTATATGACTAAGATACATACTCTAAGATGGGATCCTTCATTAACAAATGGATTACTTGATTGCCAGAAGCAATTTTAGTTAATCTCAGTGTTGAGTGCTTAGAAAAATCTTTACTTCACTTTTACTGTTAAGGTGTTGATACAGTACTAGCATATCTGAGTTTTTTTATATTTAAATTGTATTGTTGGGTTGGACGGTGTGCAGTCTTTCTGCAAGACCAAAATAAGACATAGGCTGGTAAATAAAGTGGAATGAGAATGGAACTACTAGTGGCATTCAATCCGATGTTAGTTTCTGAAATCAGATTTCACCTTCTGTGGCCTTATATTTTTTAGGGTGATTTGCTTTTCTGCCAAGTTCTCTCATTGAGTCTATAATTTGCCATTTGTCTCAAGAATTTTGAGTATTTTCATGAAAATCCTGTTTGACAGTATCAAGAGCTCTTTGAAGACATTCTGAAAAAAAATCTATGAAAATAATGGCCCTTCTTTAATGTTCTAAACTTCAGTTCTTAGAGAGAAAATATAGTGTATTTCTATTACCAACTGATTTTTAATCTTTAAAAGCATACAAGATATGTGGATAAAGCTTTTTTTAATTCAGGTTGACAATGACGAATGGGAAATAAATCATTTTTGATTCTGTGCTGAAATTTTACTCTGTTTAGTGCATATATGCTTTATCACTTTTTGTTAGCGTAATAACAGATAACCTAAACATTATGTACTTGGCCATTTTTGTTGATTAGCATGTACTCTTAAGATTCTCCTATGTTATAATACAGAGGTCTTGACTGGAATAATAATGTCTATATTTGTTTTGTGACAGCACTTGGTTTAAAGGTATCTACAGCTGATTCCTCTCATCACTTTCAGCATTAAACCTTTGGCTGCCTTAGCTGATTGTGTTTCTGTATAGTTAAAGTAGTGGTTCTTAACCTTTGTTACTTGGATGTTTTTGAACTGCAACTCCCAGAAACCCGAGCCAGCACAGTTGGTGGTGAAGGCTTCTGGGAGTTGCAGTCCAAAACTCCTGAGTAATCCAAGGTTAAGAACCAGTGAGTTAAAGGACTAGCAAACAGAAGTGATGACATGAGATTGCTAGTATTGTTTCACTACAAAGAATGAATCACTCTACTATTGGAAACCACTGTGTAATTATGAAACTGAGGTTCATGTGAGGAATAAAAAATAGGTCAGCCACATTTTTTGATAACCTATCTCTCCTAGATTTTAAAGGAAGTAGTATAGTAGTTCAGTATGTGGTGGCTTCTTGCATACTATAATTATGTAAATTAGAAATTAGAAGCACATATTCCTTCTGTTCTTCGGTAGAGGAAAGCTTGTATTAATACCAATATGTATTCTCCCAAATAGGTGGGTTCTAAGTTGATTTCCTGCCACAAGCTTGTGCTAGCTTGTGTTATTCCTTACTTCCGAGCCATGTTTCTTTCCGAAATGGCAGAAGCAAAGCAGACATTGATCGAGATTAAAGACTTTGATGGTGATGCTATAGAAGATTTAGTCAAATTTGTCTATTCATCTCGACTGACGTTGACAGTAGACAATGTCCAGCCTCTATTATATGCTGCCTGCATTCTCCAGGTGGAGATAGTAGCCAAAGCCTGCTGTGAGTACATGAAACTGCACTTCCATCCTTCGAATTGCCTGGCAGTGAGGGCCTTTGCAGAGAGTCACAACCGGATTGACTTGATGGACATGGCCGATCGCTATGCCTGTGAACATTTTGCTGAAGTGGTGGAATGTGAAGACTTCGTGAGTGTGTCGCCTCAGCACCTTCATAAACTGTTATCTTCAAATGACTTGAATATTGAGAGTGAAAAGCAGGTTTATGGTGCTGCTATTAAATGGCTTCTTGCCAACCCACAGCATCATGCTATGTGGTTAGATGGAATACTTTCTCAGGTAAGGACAAGATGAGAATGAATGTAGGACGGACGGGTTATATTCCAGATAACTTTTCTGTTTTGCATTTTATGTAACAAATTGGAGTTAGCAGCACTTAAACTGAGGTTAGCAGCCCTTCTGTTAGGGCAGTGATGGCGAAGCTATGGCACGCATGCCACAGGAGGCACGTGTAGCCCTTTCTTCTGGCACACGACAAACCTTCTGAAGTGGCTGCAGCTAGGATTTCCCCTTTCTCTTTCTGTTCTGGGTCCTTTAACTTCCAGTCCGTCTCCATGATTCCCCCTTTAACTTCCTGTCCGTCCCCATGATTCCCCCCGAAACTGCCACTTCCTGTTCCAGTTCTGGTCTTCCGGATGGTACGGCAGCCACTGGTTTCTTCCCCAACCCTTCATTTTGGGCACTCGAGCAAAAAAGGTTTGCCTCCACTGTGTTAGGGCTTTCTGAAATCCCACAAGATCATTACTTTCCTGAAAACATACTGTATTTTTCCATGTATAAGACTACTTTTGTCTAAAATCTTTAGGCTTAGACAATAGTATAGTCTTATTTAGGGAAGTAAGCTGAGCAGAAAAACCAAGTGGAGGGGAAAGCAGGGATCAAAGTGATCCTTCCGGGCTTTGATCCCTGCTTTCCCCTCCACTTACTAAGCCTTAGCAAAAGGAAAGCAGGGATCAAAGTGCTGCAGGATCACTTTGATCCCTGCTTTCCCCTCTGCTTGCTAAGTCCCATGGGGCTTAGCAAAAGGAGGGGGGAAGGATCAAAGCAATCCCGTGGCTATATCAGGGGGAAAGGGATCAAAATAATTGTGCAGTTGTAGAATTGCTTTGATCCCTTTCCCCCTCCTTTTGCTAAGCCACGCAGGACTTAGCACAAAGGGAGAAAGCAGGGATCAAAGCCATCTTGCAGCACTTTGATCGCTTTTACCCTACATTTGCTAAGCCCCACTTAGTTTTCTTAATTTAGGGTTAGAAAAGGGGGGGGTGTCTTATACATGGAAAAATACGGTATATTGTCCCTTCATACAGGTTAAGGTCAGTTCAGGAACTCCAGCATTTTGTCATCACTCAGTACTTGATCACTTGAGGTTGAATGCTGGATATACCAACACTGAACAGCACAATATCTGTGGCAACAATTGTGGTCACAATTGACCAGATAGGCGGGGTATAAATGAAATAAATAAATAAAATGAACATTAAACTTATCTGTAGGATGTTTCTATGACTATTTGTGTAGGTTATTTTGGTGCAGCCATCAGTCATGACCCTGCATGTGTAAACAGGGCATAAGGTTGACATAATGAAACAAATGCTGTACTATCCAAAGGAATGTTTCTGTTTTTATGGCTATTCTTGGGGTATGTCTACAATCTGCATTATTTGTCTATTATTGTTCACTTGTAAAGGATATTTCCATCCGATATTGGAACAAAATTACTATGTGTTGTAAGAAGAAGCTGCACGAAGATGAAGCGTCCAGGCAACCAATGTCCCCTTTCAGGAAATGAATTAGACTTGTCTGTGTATTCTTTGGAGTCCCCGTCGTGTAATTAAGACTCAGGGCTCATAAGGGGGAATTAGTTGTAGATCACCATTCAGTAATTCAGCAACATGATTAGTGAAAGCTGGCCCTGGTCTTTCAATACCAGCTTGCGTGATAGGAATGCAGTTGGTGCATCATGTCTTGAACCAGGTGGAGGCACACTGGCCCTATATGCTGAATTATTAATGGAACTGACCTTTGTCATTTATTGCCTACTTATATGGAAAAGAACTTTAAAGTGTGATTGACCTTGACCCAGAAAACATTGTGTCCAGAGTGGCCTCTTGAGACAGTCAGCTATGGAAGTTTGGTAAGCCTTCCTTTGCTGCTCTGATGCTTCAGGTTTCACTTGTGTACTCTTCTTGTGCGTCTTAATCATTTCAACCTTCACTCATCTTGCAGTTGTAATCTGATTAGAGGCACATAATTTGAGAAGCCAGTATTGGTTATGTGGCCACCAGCAAAACAGAGTAGGAAAATTCCCATATTCCTAAGCCAGTGTGATGATGAAATATTTTGTACCATATTGCCAGTTGGCTATTACCAACTGGTTGGTTGTTGCCTTATGGTCACATCCTGAAATGGATGAGCCCATACTTTCCTGCACTTGATTGTATTGCAGAGAGAGCACTGCTAACACAATCCTATGCCAACCTCACTAAGAGGTTCAGGCATTACCTACAGCACAAAGCAGGCAGATGAGTACTGATTGTTTTCTTTCAGTGCCTTTGAATGTCTGCTTAGCACTTGCCAAGGACCATTTAGTGTAAGACTTGGTAGGGCCTGTTTAGTTGAACTTCTGCAATATCTCTTCCCTAGGTTCGCCTGCCTCTGTTGCCTGTTTGCTTTCTTATGGGGGTAGTGGCAAAAGAAGAGATTGTCAAACAGAATCTGAAATGTAGGGATTTGTTGGATGAAGCAAGGAATTATCATCTCCATTTAAGCAGTCACACGGTACCTGATTTTGAATATTCTGTTCGGACAACACCAAGAAAACACACAGCTGGTAATTAACTCTCTTCTTATATAACAGTGTTTCATATCTCTAAGACGTTTAATCTGTTCACATTATTTAGGTGTTAATGAAAATATTTTAAAATACTCTTATCGGTAGAATACCTGGCTCAGGCTCACATATCTCACTTTTCTTCCCTTCTTTTCTCACTTAAGAAAGTTCTGTCTCTATCCCATTGTCTGATAAAACAATAATTTGCTTCATTTAGATGTAACAGCAAACAATAGTTTGGTTAAACCATGAAAAAAGGGAGAAAAATATATTATACAGTGGGAAGATGTGATGAGTAAGTGAGCTTGAGGCTCAGAAGGGAATAGCCTGAACTGCTGTCTGTGTGAATCAAGCCAGTGAATTTCTTTCTGTGTTACAGAATCATACATCTGACAGGCTGTCAGTCCTCCTGGCATCCCGTGAAATGTTTGATTGATCTAACACAGGAGAAGACACAGCACTTTCCTACCTAAAGATTATTGCATGCAATTATCTCCATTGAAGCTGATAGTAAAAAATCCTTTTATGAAAAGTTCTATTGTAGCCATGTAGGTTTTTAAATTTGATTCACTTGGGAATGGCTTAAACCTGTAATAACCTTCTAGCAATGTAGCTGAAATTACCTTTGGCATGTTGTCCTAGATAGTCATGAACAGGCCATGAAACATTTTAGGGTACTAGTAATTTGTAGGGACAACTGTATAGCAACTTCAGTTCAGTTCCTTATGCTCCAAATTGGGATGGAATCATGAAAGTTCTGTTATTGAGTGTCAGTGTTAATTATCAACAAAGGTAAATAACCTTAAGTCAACCAAACAGACCAGTATCTACTATTTATTTTTGTTTAGCTAGGGTGCTAATGTGTACAGTATGCAGCATTCAGTACTGTGAATGCTGATTCTCATAAAAATAAAATGTGCATTTTTCATTGTTTTTTTGCCTATAAGGTGTCCTTTTTTGTGTTGGTGGCCGTGGTGGATCTGGTGACCCCTTTCGCAGCATTGAATGCTATTCGATACATAACAACAGCTGGTTTTTTGGCCCAGAGATGAATAGTAGGCGGAGGCATGTGGGTGTAATCTCTGTGGGAGGTTGGTAAAAAAAATCCTTTCTTTTTCTACTTGTTATTTATGACCCAGGCATTCCATTAACCAAAAAATTGGATTATGTAATACATGTCTTCATTACAGAAATATTTTCCGGTTCCAACAGTAACTAGATAGTTTTTCGCTTTTTATTTTTATTTTGTCTTTCCATTCAAAGATGTCCAGGACATCTCACAGCAAAATCAAACCAATTAAGACCAATCAATAAAATGGTAAAATATTGCCTAGAGAGGAAAAGCAGAAAGGGGTTTTGGAAATTAAAAGTCCAAGAGAATTAAACCATTAATAATTGTCTGCCAGAAGAGAAAAGGGTTCACATGCCAGTAAAGGTCATTGGGGCGAGTGCCAACTAATCTCTGCATAGACGAAATTCTACAGTCTAGTCAAAGCAAACAATAATGCCTTCACCCCCGTCCTAACTAAACACATTCCAATGTGGGTGGTTGTGGAGGGACAGACATCTCTTGCAAGGAGTAGTACATAAAATCATGTATGTGAAGTGCTATAGATACTCAAAAAGGTGCTCCATATGGCAAAGATTCTGGATCTTTTTAAAACTCTTAATAATTCTTCATAAATCTGAATGTCATTCCTGCCAGCTGTGTTTAATTGTATTTTACTCGTTAAATTGACAAATACCTCTCCCAAAAGATGTAAATACTGGAAATTAAAATATTTTGTTAAATTTGTGGTGTGCAAGGCTGCATCTCTGAAAAACCACATCCTATATGAGCCATCCCAGACTTTAAAATCTTTGGGTAGCCCTTTTCTTCGTCCTTGTGCCCTCACAGGCACTGGTGGGGTTTTTCAGTGGCTTCTTCTAGGTTGTAGAACTCTTTCTTAGAAGGCCCCTTTCTTAATGTCTTTTCACTGGCAAAGACTTTTCTGATCAGGTAGGCCTTTGAGAATGAAGAAGCTTTAAACAGTGTTATACATTTAATTTCAACCTCTTTTGTTTTAATTGAATTTGTTTTTGATAGTTTTATCAGCCGTTTTGCCTGCCTGCACTGGTAGAAAAGCAGGATAGAATTGGAATGAAATTAACATGTAATGAAATAAATATGCCAAGTACTTGACCTTTCAGTGATATTGTTAGAAGCAGGCAGACATGGGTTTCGTAAATATGCTGCTATTATTTTTCCTTTGCAGAAATACCAGTTTGTCTGATGACTAAATTATTCTATATATTTCAGGGAAAGTTTATGCAGTGGGTGGACATGATGGAAATGAACATCTTGGCAGCATGGAAATGTTCGATCCTCTAACAAATAAATGGATGATGAAAGCATCAATGAATACTAAGAGGTAGGTACACCTGAGTTGAACCTTCTCTAATAGAACGAAGCCTGGCCTATGAGATTTTGAAATAGACTGATTATAATGGGCTGTATAGGACATGTTAGAATTGAAATGGAACAGATTTAATGAAATTTGTTCTTGCAGATATACAATATGAGGACATAGAATATGTAATAAATAAAATGTACAATTCTTGAATCTGTGTTATGCCTGGATGTGGAATAATGGAGACTAGATATCCTTCAGTCTTGAGAATAGACGACTTGGAACAATGTTTGCTAATGGGCTATATAGGACACAGAAGAATTGAAATGGAACAGATTTAATGAAATTTGTTCTTGCAGATATACAATATGAGGACATAGAATATGTAATAAATAAAATGTACAATTCTTGAATCTGTGTTATGCCTGGATGTGGAATAATGGAGACTAGATATCCTTCAGTCTTGAGAATAGACGACTTGGAACAACGTTTGGTGTGGCTGAGAAAGCTAATTTGAGAGTGACAATCCCTTCCACACTAAAGACAAATACAATCTGTCCCCTGTCCAGCTCCCTAATTTTGCTGGTTTGGGGACTGCCTCTTTGCCTCGGCCTGCTGGACAAGGGACTCTTCAAATTGGGAGAGGCCGTGATGCACTGCCTGCCTCCAGACTGAACGCTCAGTTGTCAAAGTTTCCCATCTGTTGAGGTCCATTCCTAAGGCCTTCAAATCCCGCTTGCAGATCTCCTTGTATCGCAGAATATTGGCTATGAGATAGGATAAGTGTATTTGTGTCTTTTTAAAAAACAATAATACATGATTTATGGTCTCAAATGCATTCTTTAATAACGTCAATTCCAGTGGGTCATGTGTTCAAGGGTCAGTTTTGATAGCTACTCCTGAAATTTCTGCCTCTTTATTTTGTTTTGTTTTATTTTATTGAATAAAGAAGCAGTTGCAGTGTTTCAGATTGTGGTTTGCCATTTGTAGTTAGTTGTATTATACTTCATGTTCTTGCAAAATGTTGCTGAATTGGGTTATTCCTAGTAACGCCCATTACCAGTTTCTTTTATAATTACTGTCAGATAATGGATGACATGTTTTTTATTAGGAGAGGAATTGCCCTTGCTTCTCTTGGGGGTCCCATTTATGCTATAGGAGGCTTAGATGATAATACGTGCTTCAGTGAAGTGGAGAGATATGACATTGAATCTGATCACTGGAGTGGAGTAGCACCTATGAATACGCCCAGGGGAGGAGTTGGCTCTGTGGCTCTGATGGTAAGCTACTGTGCTTCTTTTGATCGGGTTGAAGGGAAAGCAATAGAGGCAAATGTGAAATGCTACATCTGGCATCATGATCATCGGAATATGTTCAGTTTGTGTGGAGGTCCAAATATCTTGACTGTTCTGCACTATCCTTGCTTAAGAAGCCACTTTTGAAGAAATTAAGAATTAAATAAGAAACAGGATATTGAGGCAGAAGACATCGTATAAAAACAAACTTTTATCTAGTGCTGTAACCTGTTCGTTAAACTAGATTATAAATAAATATGGCTTCATATTACTACAGTTCATATCTGAGTGTAGTTAAAGTTTCCATTGGCAATAATTTCAAAAACTGGGAAGGGAGCCAGTAAATTTTATGGAAAATCCTCCTGTTGTTTTAGTGTTGCTTGATGATTATATTCTGCCAAAGTCTTAACCTGGGGATAGACAGCTACTGCAGACCGACGAATTGCACAACTTTCGCTCTCTTTGTACTGTGGGAGCAAAAGGGGCTGAAGCAGGCTTTTCACCCTGTAGTAGTACCTGCTAATTCATCCTTAAGTGCCTCTTTTGCATATAATATTCTTTTGTTCTTTTCTTCTTTGCAGAACTACGTATATGCTGTTGGTGGGAATGATGGTGTAGCATCTCTCTCTAGTGTGGAGAAATATGACCCACACCTGGATAAATGGATAGAAGTGAAAGAAATGGGTCAGCGGAGAGCTGGCAATGGGGTCAGTGAGCTGCATGGCTGCTTATATGTGGTTGGTGAGTAGTGCCTAACCTTTATTTGTCCAAATCACTCTCGTCTTCCTCTCCTGTAATCTGCATGTTACAGTTAAGAACAGGCATGATAATGTAATATGTTAGTTGACTGATCGATAAGGTGCTTTCAATTGCAGAAAATTCTGGAGGCTACAGTTGTGCACCCATGCTATAGACCAGTGAGTGGCTCCTTACTTTGGGTCCTCAGAAAATCCTGGTCAGCACAGCTAGTGGTAGATGCTTCTGGGAATTTTAGTCCAGGAACATCTGAGGACCCAAGGTTGGGAACCACTGCTGTAGTCAGTTATAATTTTTTTTTACTGTGTAAATATGTTTGCTATTGGCAGTAAATATGTTATCCAGCTGTCAGCTAACAAGTAGGCCACTGGACTCATAGTCCTCTCTGATTGTTAACATATTATATGCCCTCTCACAGGTTGTGCGAGAAACAGATTAAGTGTAACTTTATATAAATCTTTTAGAAATTTAGTTCACAAAATGGATCCCCTATATTTTTTGTGCTATTTCTGCAACTGGGTCAGTGATACACATGTTATAGCTCTGTTTTGTGAAACTGTTTATGATAAAATTACTATGTATAAAGTCTGAATTGCTTTTTAATCTGATACATTCATGCTCCTGTGGTATATATGTCTTTATACAGGTGGCTTTGATGATAATTCACCACTTAGCTCTGTTGAACGATTTGATCCTCGCAGTAACAAGTGGGAATATGTAGCTGAGCTTACAACTCCTCGGGGCGGAGTTGGCATAGCAACTTTAATGGGCAGAATTTTTGCTGTTGGAGGTCACAATGGAAATGCTTACTTGAATACAGTGGAAACCTTTGATCCTGTGAGGAACAGGTAACTCCCTTGCTCTTATCAAGTTGGTTGCCAAGTGCTTAAGAATTTCCAAGGTATTGCAGAATGATCCCATCTGCAGGACCTCTGTAAAATATATAAAGCCATTTTGGAATTTCTACATCTAGATCCTTAGGGACTTGCCTCATTCCAGGATATCATTTGCTGAATTTTCAGCATTCATTTTTAAGAACGAAGTATTTGGAGAGGGATGAATAGAAAAGAATATAACAGGACAGAAGATTTCAAGCCTTGATCAAGGCCTCTGGGAGGAGATCCCCTCACTCTTTTTTGCCTGTGTGTCCTAGACATAGCAAGGTCCCTTGTTTGCTCCTTAAACTTCTCAGAAGTAAAACTAATTGAAAGCTTTTTTAAAATAAATAATAAAATCAGCAGAAGAAAGTTCTTTGTGGCCTCTGTGAATCACACCCTGGGTGATCCGCGCTTGCGTGGAGCCTCATTAGAAAGTTCTAGAGCTTCTGCGGTAGCAAAAAACACATTAGAATAAGGCCCCTCCCCCCTCGTATAAGTACCTTGGCGCCAAGGCTCCCCTTTCAGTTGTGTCAACCGCCACTACATTAAGCAGAGTGGCATGGCAGTGGGGAAGATGGCCAGCAGAGGTCCACTCAAAGAACTACAATTACAGGTGGGTAACCTGTCGATTTCCCTTCTGTTTTGTTCCCTTGTCATCCACTGCAAGCAGTAATTAGAGTTGAAGTGAATTGACTGGACCTTGATGGGCCCTCTCTCTGTTTGCGACAGTTAAATGCTTTCGTCTGACTGTTCTCGATGTTTAGATATAAATCCTCACTCTTCTATTTGTCCAAGTTTATTTCTTGATGGACAGTGATCTTGAGGTGAGCCACAAAAGTACAATATAAATAGTTCTTAAAATTAACCTTCTAGTAGATTCATCTCACCTACACGCTGAGCTTTTTCATGTAACGTGTCAGATATATTTTGGGAAAAGCAACTATTACTTTTTCTTCTTTTTAGATGGGAACTTGTGGGTTCAGTATCTCACTGCAGAGCAGGAGCTGGCGTAGCTGTCTGTGCTTGTCTTGGCAGCCAAATCCGTGACGTGGGTCAAGGTTCCAGCAATGTGGTGGATTGCATGTGATTTGGGGTTGAAGTTTGTTAATTGTTCTGAAGTACTACAAGACCTCACAACCATCTTGTGAAGACATAACGGACTTCCAAATATGTATAACTATCCCAAAATATTTTACATGGAGATTTGAATGGTGTGGCAATTTTTCAAGGCATATCTCAAGCAATTGGAATAAGTCTTCAGTGGTTGTTTAAAACGTAGCTTCCAGTGTGCTTATACTTGAAGGCTTCTGATCTCAAGCTTTTTGTTACTTCCCCAAGGGTATTAGAGATACATCTGTATTTTTCAAGAAAACTGTTCTTTTAAAACGCTTTTACTACTTTTCAAACAGTCCTCTAAAAACAATCTAAGGGTTGTATGTATTTTCCGTCTGAAGAAGGGTTTCTTTTATGAGTGTGTTCTTTTGATGTACTATGCAAACCCAAACTAACCATATGGATCCCAGCCTCCTGCAAACAGAAATATGATGGTGCAAAAAGAAAAGAAAAGAAAAAAAACATTAACAGCAGAAAAAAAAGTTCAGTTCTAAAAGAGGAGTTTATTGCTTCTGGTGGAATTAATCTAGAATTTTTGGTGATGGGTGTGCCATCTCAATTTCATCCTAATTAAGCATGCATAAGTACAAATAAATGTGGCAAATTGTGAATTCACCCTTTCATTTCAGCCATCCCCAGTTCTCTTTGTTTTTAAGATCACTTGCTTCTGCTGCAGATGCTCAAATTGCAGACTTTGCATCTGTGTCCAGAATTGCTGCACTCTCAGACTTCTCATTTTGTTTTTCCCCATGTTTATTTGTATCGTCCACAGCCAAAATAAACATATGTCTTTGTAACATGGTGATAATCAAGTGTGGGACAATCATTCAGGAAATCACTTGCAAGGTGGCCAGTCTGATCTGCGTAACTCTGAAATGAATTCTCTGGTTAGTCTATATTGTTTGCATTCCTAGCAACGTAAGCAGCAGGTCTTTTGAGTTGTGTACGTGTGTGTGTTTGTCTCCACGGCCCATACATGAAACACACACGCACCCTTTACTTTCGTGCTGAATTCCAAGTTTTGAAAAATATGGCTAAGCCACAGCAAGCTGTATCAAATCTCTTTCTGTTAGGAAAAAAATCACTGGAAGCTTCTCCCAACAGTGTTGCCACCAGCCATCTGCAGCACTACTATACTGGCAGGATGGGGAAATCTTTGTGAAAGCGGGCACTGTTTTTGTGTGTGAATATTGGTAGAGGTCTGGGCAAAATGTTTATAATCGGAATATTTCCAAGACAAGGAGCTGTGGATAAGGAAGTGGACCCACCTCGCCCTAACCCTATTCTTCTGTATATGGCCCTTCCCGTATTGCTGAGAGTACTAATATTTTGGAATGCCACTACAGCGAAGCTGATCACTTGGATGCTTCATGTGCAATCATGGCTATTGTTACTTAGAGGAAACAGATAGCATATCATGTTAAAATGCTTGATTAGCTCTCAGGAGGAAAGATCCAATTAGATTTGTCGCAAAGTTAGTTGAAACGTTTTTAAATCTGCTAATATTTTGTGTTTAAAGATAATTGATATATAATACAGCAGATCATCCTTTTTCTATCCACCCTCTTGTTTTAGATTAGAATTGTTTTGGACTTCTCTTCGGTCTGGTTACTTAGTGCTCAGTTCCTGCAGCCCTGTGTGTAAGACTACGTACAGCTGTATTCCAAAAATAGGCTTCATAAACCCATGCCAGGACAGGTTATGCTTGAAATAGCAAAAGCTCACAAGTCAAGAAATAGAACATGCCAGTCTTTATTATTCAAGGAATCATGCAATTTCAGTGGCACTCAGTGAGTTGGGTGTTGCCACAACACAATAGAGAAAAATATGGTTCATTCATATCTCAGCTTGGTGATAATTACTTGAGAGGAAATGTACATGACCAAAATGCAATGCTCAAACCATTTTGGATGGGTAAAGCTGGCTTAGAGCACAATTTGGGCATGAAAATACTGTGTTTCTTGGAGAAACAATTATTTAATGATTCTCTGTCATTCTGTCACAAAGCACACACATTGCTGCTTTACACTGTTGCTTCTAAAATCTGTTTTTGTACGAGTGTGGTACCAAGTGAAAAAAGTGCAGAATGTGGCATAATGTGTTTTATGGAAAATGGAAACCTTGTAATAAAAGGCATTTATTGTTTAGCCTTGTGCGTGTTATTTCACAGTTGGGTGGAAGTCCATATATAGTATATATACTCTGTGTGTGTGTGTGTGTGTGTGTGTGTGTGTGTGTGCGTGTGTGTGTGTGTGTAAATAGTAGGGTTGAGGATGGTTTGGATGGTTCATATTGAAACAGCTAAATAATCAACATATTGAATTCTGGGGATTGACGTTGCTCTTAAAATTTGTCTCTGGTGACATATTTTGAAAGTACTGTATGCTGCAGTGGTTGGAGTGATTTGGATCTACTTGTACTAAGAAATAAAGACGAACCTTCATTTTTGTTAGCTGCTAAAATATTTCTGGGAAGCCATGGGACTTAGGCAAGCACAATATAGATGTTCAAATGATGAAAATCCTTAGACACAAACAAAGGGAAGACTAGTCATATATCCCCCTCCCAAGTCTGGTAAACCTGTAAAAAATGGGGGGGGGAATCTTCCAACGTTTTCCACTTTTTGCAGAAATACTGTATGTGTCGTGAGAATATATTCAGGTTATGCTGCTGAGGAGCTACCGATGAAAGAGATCAAGCATGGACATTGTCACAAAAGCCAAGTTTTACAGCCTAAACCAAGAGAGTAATCCAGGAATTAGGGCCACCATTTCCTTTCCCCCTTATGAAAAAAGCATGTCTGGCAAGTTGCACTAAGTTTCTTCCAGCAGAGGGAGGAAGACAACCATATATTGCCAGCCTCCTCTTACAGGAGCAGTGGCAGAGCATGTGGAGGTGGGACACAGAGATACTTCATCTGGTGTCCATGTCTAAATTTTCACACATAAACACATCACTTCTATTTCCGCTGCCCCAATCCACACAGCGTATGCAAGTTGCAAGCTTTCTTATAACATGCAAAAAGTACTTAAATAGGGAGATTCTCCCTGCTCCCCTTGATATATATGCAAGACTCATTGGAAGGTACTTTTGATGCTGAAGCACCAAATTTTTCTTTCATTTTAATTTATAGGTCCAGTTGTGGTGCTCTTGCTGTTAGAGGAAGCTCTGTGTCCATTCTGACCTGAGTAGAGGGGAAAACAGCTGTGGAGCAGCTACTCTAACCTGTGTCCACTATCCAACATTTGGTAGAAATTTGAGATAGCGTGAATCAGCTACTGCACTATACAAACTACAAAGCTCGTGCAAACAGCAGAGGAATAGCCTTGGCAAATTGCACTAGGCAAAACCAAGATTATAAATATGTGGTTGTAGGGAGTTCAGAGGTAATAAATTTAACACAACAGACAAACCTGATGTGTGAATTGTCTTTAAATGTGCCATAGAAGAATTTTCTACGAGCTCTTGAAGTAATGGCCTTAAAAATAAAAGTGCTAAATCAGAAACTCCATGTTAAGTGTAAGGTGTGGGTGATAAAAATTTGTTTCCTCCTGTCAGCATGAACCATAGTCTGTTGATTAGAGACTAACAGCAAATAAGGCGTTGAAGATTCACCCATCATGCCTTTCCACACATCAGATGCCTGGTCTGGGTAAAGGATAGTTCAAGGATTGGCCCTACTTTTTGCAAGTTTTTTTGAAGGCCCTACTTCATCACCAGCCATTATCAGGGTTACAGGTGTGATGTAGCTGGGGCATTTCTGCCTTGGCACCAGAACCACAGAACTCCCTCCTGGAAGTCTTACTTCACCCCTTAATGACCTTCAGAATCTGTGTAGAGCAGGGGTGAGCAATTCATTTCTATAGGGGGGGCCACATGAAAAATCTGAACTGTGTCCCAGGGGCCGAACCAACTTTACTTTGAAATAAAAGATAAGCAACTGATCGACTTTGGACAAAAAGCAATAAATGGTTTTGATGTTCAACTTGTTCAGTGAGAGAAATCCAGTCTGTCTTGGGTTTGAACAAGTGCTTGAACACCGGATTGGAGCAACGACCGGTGGGCTGGACAGGCGCGGCTCGTGGGCCATATGTGGCCCTCAGGTTGCACTTTGCCCAGGTCTGTGCCATCCTGTATTTTCTGAGACTCTTACTGGCCCATCTCCCTTAAAATCCCCCAAATGAAAGCTTTGCATGGAAAACCTCACTATGTGCCCTTCTAGGTGTATCAGGTGACATTTTTATTATGCTCAGGAGGCACCACCTGGGGAGTTTGAGCTGGTTCCGAACCTACTCATGCGTGTTTTCTCCTTGCATGGACATTCCAGGGATTCGAATCCAAGACCTCTTTCACACAGAGAAAGAGCTCTGGGGAGGGGGGTGTTCTTCCTGGAAAGCACAAACCCTAAACTTTGTTCGTCCTTGAACCTTGGTGGGGCCAGACACAGTAGGACTCACTTGCACGTGGGGGGCAGGAGGGGGCACGCCAGGGAGCTGGGGATGTGTGTGAATATTTCAAGTAAGGGTGGCAGACACAGTAGGGTTGCACAGGTCAAGTGTGGGGGGTGGCTGCCCACTCTCGGGTGGGATTCTCTGCTGGCTGCTTCGACACTTTAAAAGGGGGCAAGTAAGACAGAAAAGAAGTTTAGGCCCTTGATACATGGTGGAGCCTCTCTCCCACAAAACCGTGACCTGTTCCATCCGGGGTCCCTCCAGTCCTTGATGCTAAAAATGGTGAGACCGAAGGAGACCCAGAGCGTTGGCACTGGGAACTGTACTTTCTCCATGTTGGCCCCTTTCCCTCCGGACTCATTTCCAGTGGGTGGGGGTTTGGGGCAGATCATCATGGGATTGGTCCCCATCGGCCTCACGCCGTGGGCCATGATCCTCCAGTTTAGGAGACAAGACGAAGAATGCCGAATCGGAAGGCAACCCCACGGGACCTGCTTCACAGGAGACCACGAGAGGGTCATGCTTAGGAAGAGTTGCGTCTTCCATTAAACACTCCACCGCCGAGCCTTGGGGCTGAGAGGGAGAGCCCCCCCTTTCTGTCTGACTCTGCCCCCCTAAGCTTTCTTTTGGTGGGCTATCTGGGGCCACAGACATGTTGAGATGGTTCCCAACAGGTTCGGCCATTTCTGGCACAGGGCTGGGGTCTCGGGGGCTGATGGCAGCTCTTCCAGCAGGTGGTTTGTCTCTGGAGGGGCCTCCGGGGAGGATGATGGCAGGAGTGATCCATCCGGGGACAGAGCTGGTGTCTTGAGTGGGCTCCTAACTGTGGGAGAGGCACCATGTCCGAAAACTTGGAGGAAAAAGCAACACCTTGTTACAAGAGGGGGGGGGGAGACGTGGCTTCATGAGAAAACGAGGTTCAAGAGACTTCAGTCCCACCTGGACTCACCTGTCTCTTCCTCCTCGGGAGGATCGTCCAGATTAGGATTTGGTCTGCTTGTCCATCTCTCGAGTATGTGAGCGATGAACATGGTGAGACACAGCATTTTCTGATGGAAAAACAGGAATGAATCGCAGGATTGACTCTGTGATTCCTTCATGCTGGCTGTCTCTCAACAGAGTGACCTTGGTCTCCCTCCTCCCGAGTAACACTGTTGTCAGAACATGGCCGGGCCAAGGTTTGTGAGGTCACAGAAGGCTGCCAACCTGAGCTGGCCAAGTAAGTTGACGAAAGAAAAAGGTTTATCCCTTGTATGTTAGTGACCTCTCTATTCATAGATGCATGAAAAATGATTATCTCCCTTCTCTGGATCTCTGATACCGCTGAGGACAAGCTGTGGTTAAGCACAAGCACAAAATAGGCTCATTTGTATAGATAGATTTATCTATCTTTTAAAGATGGTTACCCCGCCTTTCTCTAAGGCAGATGAACATCCTTAAAAGATAATATTCAGTTCTTAAAAAACAAACAAACAAAAAACAAACAAACCACGCACTGGTTCGTGAATGTGGGGAATTGAGCGTCTGTGTTCATGATTCAAAAAGCCAGGAAAGAGCCCCAAATGGCGGCACAATAGGGTGCCCGTGTTGCCAGCAGGAAAAAGGACGCCAAGCTTTACCTAGCAGAGGGCAGCCTGAATTTTGACAGCACCCATGGCAGCTGTCTAGAATGATGGCCGGGATAGGGTCCCTTCCAGCTCAACAGTTCTAAGATGATGATGGCTAAGTTGCTTCATTCTTTTC